CGCTTTCTAGCTAATACATTCCAATCCAGGCAACATCCTGGTAAACCTCTTCTGCACCTTCTCCAAAGCTTTCCCATCCTTCCTACAGTGTGGCGACCAGACTTGCACACAATACTCCAAATGTGGCTATCTAAAGTTTTATACAGTTGCAGTGACTTGCCAAATTTTATTCTGAATGCCCCAACTGATAAAGGCAAGCATGCCATATGCTTTCTTTACCATCTTATCCACTTGTGTTGCCACTTTCAGAGAGCTATGGACTTGCACCCCAAGATCCCTGTCTATACTAGTACTCCCAAGGGTACTGCCGTTCACTGTATACTTTTCTTTTGCATTTGACCTCCCAAAATGCATCATCTCATACTTGTCTGGATTAAACTCCATCTGCCATTTCTCTGTCTAACTTTCCAACTGATCTATATCCCGCTGTATCCTTTCACAGGTTTCCTCACTATCCTCAATTCCACCAATTTTCACGTTGTCTGCAAACTTACTAATCAGAATACATCGATTTTCATCCAAATCATTCATACATATTACAAACAACAGAGTATCCAGCACTGACCCTTGCAGAACACCACTGTTCATAGATCTTAGAAAATGTTCATAGAAAATCATCCCTCCATAACTACCTTGTCTTCAATGACTAAGCCAATATCGTATCCAAACTCAAAAACCAAAAGAACTGCGGATGCTGTAAACCAGAAACAAAAACAAAAGTTACTGGAAAAGCTCAGGTCTGGCAGCATCTGTGAAGAGAAATCAGAGTTAACGTTCGGGCCCGGTTCTCTGGTTTGTCTTCACAGATGCTGCCAAATTTGCTGAGCTTTCCCAGCAATTTGTTACTGCATCCAACATGCCAACTCACCTTGGATCCCATGGGACTTAATCTTCTGAACATTATCATGCGGGACCTTGTCAAATGCTTTACTAAAGTCAATGTAGACAACATCCACTGCCCTATCTTAATATCTTTGTCAGTTTGTCAAAAATCTCAATCAAGCTTGAGACAGAAGACCTCCCGTGCACAAAGCCATGCTGACTATCACTAATAAGTCTGTTCTTCTCCAAATAAGTAAATCCTGTCCCTAAGAATCTTCTGCAATAATTTCCCTTCACTCTGAAGGGTTTATCAGCCTATAATTTCCTGGATTATTCCTGTTGTCCTCCTTAAACAAAGGAACAACACTGGCTATTCTCCAGTCTTCTGGGATCTCGCCAGTGGCTAATGAGGATACAAAGATCTCTGATCCTCCCTTGCCTCCCTTATTATCCTGGGATAGATCTGGCCCTGGGACAATGTTTTTCAAGACAACCAAAACCAGCTCCTCCTCGATATCAACAAGCTGTAGAATATCAACAAGCTGTAGAATATCAACATACCCCTCCATAATCTTTCCATCATCCACTTCCTTCTCTATGGTGAATAATGATGCGAAGTACTCATTAAGGACCTCACCCACTTCCTCTGGCTCTACGCAGAAATTCCCTCGTTTGCCTTTGAGTGGACCTACCTTCTTGCTCCTAGTATATGTTTAAAGTGCCTTGGGATTCTCCATAATCCTACTTGCCAAGGGCATTTAATGGCTCCTTTCCGGCCTCAAAATTCCTTGTTTAAATTGTTTCTTGCTTCCTTTACATTCTTCAAGGAATTTGTCTGATTTCAGTTTCCTAAACCTGACACATGCTTCCTTTTTTTCTTTTTAGCTAAACTTTCAATAGCTCGTCATCCCGGATTTCTCAATCTTGCCATCCTTGTCTTTCAACCTCACAGGAACATACTGCTCCTGAACTCTGATCAACTTGGCCTTTAAAAGACTCCCATGTCAGATGTGGATTTACCCTCAAACAGCCATTCCCAATCTAATTTCTTCAGTTTCTGCCAAACACTGTTTTAATTCACCTTACCCAATTTAGCTCTTCCACACGAGGACAAGTGTTATCCGTATCCATATCTATCTTAAAACGTATTGTTCTCAAAGTGCTCCCCCGCTGAAACTCTAATCACATGGCTCATTTCCCGATACAAGGTCTAGTACAGGCCCTTCCCTAGTTGGACTAGCTGCATATTATTTCCAGAAACCCTCCTGGATGCACCTATCAAATCATGCCCTATCTAAGCTCCCAGCACTAAGGAAATCCCAGTCAACATAGGGGAAGTTAAAAAAACACCCACTACAACAGCCCTGTTGTATCGATAAGGTTTTTCCATGATCTGCCCACATATCTGCTCCTCTATCTCCTGCTGGCTAATGGAGGCTTATAGTATCACCTCATCATAATGACTACACCTTTCTTATTCCTGGAGTTCTACCCATATTGCCTCACTGGATAAGCCCTCCAAGATGTCCTCCCTTAGTGCAGCTGTGACATTCTCCTTCGTGATAATGCAACTCACCCACCCTTTTACATCTCCCTCTATCACACCTGAAATATCTAAGCCCTGGAATGTTGAGCTGCCAGTACTTCCCTACTCTCAACCGTGTTTCTGTAATGGCTACAGTATCATAGTTCCATGTACTAATCCAAGCTCTAACATCATCCGTCTTACCTGTTGTACTCCATGTGTTAAAATAAATGTACTTCAGACCTCCAGTTACACTGTGTTCATTAACCAAGCCCTGCCTGTTCTTCCTATTACACTTACTTGAATTTTACTTGAATCCTACACCATGAACATCCTTGGGGTTACCATTAACCAGACATTGAACTGGACTCACCATACAAGTACAGTGGCTACAAGACCAGGTCAGAGACTAGGAATACTGCAGCAAGTAATACACCTAACTCCCAAAAAGTGTCTACAAGGCACGAGTCAGGAATGCATTACAGTACTCCCCACTTGCCTGGATGAATGCAGTTGCAATAACACTCAAGAAGCTTGACATCACCTGGGACAAAGTAGCCCGCTAGGCACTACTTCCACAAGCATTCTGTCTCTCCACTGATGCTCACAGCAGCAGTGCATACACTCTCCAAAATGCACTGCAGAAATTCAAAGATCTTTATAGAGTACCTTCCAAACCCACAAGCACTTCCATCTAGAAGAAGGGCAGCAGATACTTGAGAACACCACCACCTAACAGTTCCCTTCCAAGCCACTCAATACCGGGTATATTGCCATTCCTTCACTGTCACTGGATCAAAATCCTGAAATTGCTTCCTTAATGACATTGCAGATCCACTTAAGGCATATAGACTACAGCAGTTCAAGAGGGCAGCTCACCACCGTCTTCTCAAAAGCAACCAGGAATGGACAATAAATGCTGGTCCAGCCTGCAAAACTCACTTCCCACAAGTAAATAATAAAAAAGACAAGAAGTTGGCAGGTAGGTAAAAATGACGGACTGGTGAAAAATATTTCTTGCAACAGAAAGATATGCTCAAGTGGTTCCAAAGTGATCTGTGTTTGGAGGGGGGGGGGGGGAGGTTTTTTTTAAAATACTATAAAATATAATGGATCTCACTTTAGAACAAAGACCAGATTAGGAAACTGCAACAAGAACAGTGAAAGATTCCAGGAGGAATATTAGGTGACCTGCCACCGAAAAATGTAGATAAATGTGAAATAAAAATAAGGGAAGTAAATGCAATTAAAACAGGAAATCTTTAAATCGAATAGAGAAACCTTGTATGCAGATATATGCATCAATAAAAGTGACAGTTCAGATAGATATAGTCATAAGGTGCATACCGAATCCATAATTTTATATCTAGTGGCACATAATACTGAAATAAGGAGTCAATGTCAAATTTGTACATGTACATAAGTTCAAATTACAGTACAATGTTTACACAGTTTTGAGCATCCCATCATATGAAGTACAGTATATAAACGCGATGAGAAACATGCAGCATTCATTCACTCAGAGCTTATTAGGGACAAGCAATTATAGCTACAAATACAAGCTTGAGAAGTTAGCCTGTATTAAGACAATAAAGAAATAGGAAAAGTAGGCTGTTCGGTCCCTTGACCCTACTCCACCATTCAATAGAATCATGGCTGACACAGGGGCACACACACACACACTCAAAGGGAGAGGGAGGGAGAGATAAACAAAGAAGGCCAACCGCAAAGATGGTTATATAATGCAGTTCTCTACCAAATGACATTGTTGAACCAAGTATACAACTATGTCTAACATGGAATTTGTTGATGAGAGTGTATTAAATCACGTAGGAAGAAACTACAACAGTGGGACTAGTGTGAATCGAATAAACAGCAACACCGAAGAGGAGATTTGGGTCAAATTACCCTACAATATGGTGTAACATTCTAAGCTTTGAAGATCACTCCAAAGTAACAGAACAGAATATTAGGCTAAATATTGTAAAGGTAGAAGAAAATAAAGAACATGAAACGAGCATATCAACAAGGTATAAGTACCATCCTGTGAAGATATTTGCTGATAATGTTCAAGATAACAAACACCAGCATTTACCCAAACACAGAATTAAGGATCACTGCCATGGTAGTCTGAAAATAATTTTATAAAATTTTTTTTTACGACCTTCAAATATCCCAAACTCTATTAACTGCTTTTGAAGTGGAGTGACTGCTGTAGTGTCAGAAGTGTGGCAGCAAATTTGCACATGTCGAGGTCCCACAGACAGCAATGTCATAATCAGATTGCCTGTTTATATGTGATCTAAAGGGGAAAATATTGGCAGGAACAGCTCCAAAGCTCTTTCTTGAAAATAGTGTTGTGGGATCTCTTGTATTCACTTGTGCGGCAGACAGGATATCATTTTAAACATAATAAAAGTTGGCAAATTCTACAGTTCAGCAGTTGATTGACAGTCTAGACTGGGTGCTCACGTCCTTGGAATGAGCCTTGAACTCAGACATACATAATGTACAGAGTTTAGATTGGTCAAGAACGACTATAAAAATTAGGCGCTGAAGGAATATGGTAACCAGACATAGTGGAGGTTAGGCCAAATATTTTACCTAATAACCATTTGACTGTTAAAATTTAAAATATGCAAACATTACTCACACTTAAAGCATGGCTTCGGAGATGCTCGAGTCTGGTGAACCTTTTTCCACAAGTCTCACACGGATATGGGCGCTCTCCAGTGTGCGAGCGCATGTGTCGTTTTAGGATTCCTTTCTGTTTAGCTGTGTAAGTGCAGAACGGGCACTTATAGATCTTTTTTGGCACAATTATTCCATTCCCTAGAAACAAAAACCATTGGGATCAAAACATAGAAATCTCAGGTTAACCATTCAGGTAAGGAGGAGGCAATGGGATAACCGATGTGGAGAACGCAAATAAAGACCTTTGCTAGGATATTATTTAGAAAGCATCTGTAGGAGTAGATCTTCATCTGAAACATCAAGTGCACCAAAATAATTTCACAATATGGTGGTAATAATCCCAAAAATCAAAACATAACGGTATTGTTCTGTCAAAGCTCTGCACAATCTTAACGAAGAACTCCTGAAAATTATAGACAACTGTTAATTTGCATCATACAGTATTTCATTTATGCTTATTTTCATTTTTTACTGCACACTTAACAGGAACATCATGGGATTAGTCCACAGAATACAATACAGCCGATAGTGGCAGCTCCAGATGATGGCACAAAATGTTAATTTACCCTATGCCCAGCAAAATTTCTTCCACTACCCATTTCTTTTCCTGGAAGTATTGGTTATTTGCTGAAGCACAGTTCCACAAATGCTAGATCCTTGCCCAATTGGACAGCATCCATGCAAATGGCTCAGCGTAAAAGGACAGCAAACTAAAGCATTCATTACTGAAGGCCAGACTAGTTATCATCCAAATCTAGAGTCTTAAAACAAGTCACTCAACAGAGATGACAGGTAGAAAACATGGGCATCTTCCATGCCCTTCCTAGGTGAGTTAAACATAACTGTAGAGACTTATCACTATCCCTAAGGAGCACACCTAACAACACAAGCTAGGGATCAAATCTGGGAATTTCCAGATGCACAGTATACACTCACTGGATAAAGTTGTTGAATCAGCAGAAGCACATTATTTTGTTATAAAATGCAATAAAAATATGAAATACATCTTGAAAAAAACATTGTGGGCTACCACACGATACAAAGGCACTAGACCAGAGAGACCACATTACAGATTTTATTCGTAGCTTCTGTAAAGTTAGTTAACCTGAACCAAGGAAAAAGTCTAGGCTAACAACACTGGATAGGAAAGGACATGGGACGAAAAAAAAAATTCAGGTTCCAGTTTCTGGATGTTACCCAGTACCTCCTGTAGGAAAATGCTGCTCCTCACTCCCTTGACTCACTCTCTCCATAGACTAATTACTAGAAGTATCCACATTCTACAGCTTATGGTTCTTAAAAATGTAAGTTGCTTGAGGGCTGCTAATTATAGTGAGTGGAAGGAAGGGAATAGTGAGTGGAAGGAAGGAAATAGCTCGTGAGACTAATTTAGGATTAGAGTCGTATACAGTCGATCTAGAATCACCAATGCTGCAGATCTACAGAGCAAGATTTTCAAGTAATCCAATCTCAAGAGTTACAGGAATGGAATATTCACGCTGTGTCTCACACACACAGTGGCTCATTTCGGATTACACATTTAACTTCCCCTTCAATATACTAAGCAACTATTCGACATCAATTGCTACTTTGCTGCATAGCTGTGTAATCCCACGTTAAATGTCTGTGGTCAAAAAGACATACTGGGAATCTCAAAACTGTGCCCTGGAATTTGCTTACTGCAACTACTCAGGGAGCAGGGCAAGCGAGAATAAAAATCTGAAATAGTTTCACAAAGATTTTTGCACAACTTTGAAGAACGAATCTCACCATCCAGCTCTTCTAAAAATCAGAAGGCTAAGGAAAGAGATCATCGAAAAGGATTCTGGTACCATTCTGGTGAATCACCAAAATCACCATCATTCTTCAAAGGCTTTGACATCATTCCTAAATTGTGATGCCCAAAGTTGAATGTCATACTGCAGCTGAGACCTAACCATTGTCTTATAAAGTTCTGCTATAACTTTGTTGTTTTTGAATGAAGACCATAAGATATAGGAGCAGAAATAGGCCATTCAGTGCATCAAGTGCGCTCCACCATTCAATAAGATCAGGGCTGATCCGATTACCTTCAACTCCTTTTTCCTAACTTTACCCCACAACCCTTGATTACCTATTCATTAAAAATGTGTCTATCTCAGGCCTGAATATTCTAAGCGATCCGGCCTTGACAGGCCTGTGTGATAAAGAAGATCACAGATTCACTACTCTCAGATAAGAAATGTCCTCATCCCTGTCTTAAATATGCAATCGCTTATTCTGAAATTATATCCTCTGGTCCTAGATGCTCCCACAAAGAGAAACAACCTGTCCACATCTAACCTGTCAAATCCTCTAAGAATGTTGGATGTTTCAATAAGGTCACCACTCATTCATCTAAATTCCAACCTACTCAACTTCTCCTCCATAAACAGTCCCTCTATATCCAGTATCAACCTAGCGATCCTTCAAATTGGGTTAGAAATTAGTTAGAAAAAAAGAGGACACGGAGGGTAAAATTTAAGGCAGCTTCACCTTGAGGATAAAAGCCAATAGCAGTGTGCCACAGGATTCTGTTCTAAGACCAATTTTATTTCATATGTATTTAGATTCAGTAATGCATGAAAGTGGGAAGGCAATGGCATTGTGATATCATCACTACCTAGTTCTCTGGATGACTAGTCCAATGTTCCAAGGACCCAAGTTCAAATCCCTCCATGACAGATGGTAGAATTTGAATTTAATAAAGATTTGGAATCAAAAATCCAATGATGACATGAAACCATTGTTGTAATACCCCATCTGATCCACTAACATCCTTTAGGAAAGTAAAACTGCTGTCTTTACTTATATTGGATTGTTGTGCAACACAGACATATTGTTTTTCTGTTCTGACAAAGAGTCACTAGACTCGGAATGTTAACTTTATCTCACAGGTGCTGACAACCCTGATAGTATTTCTCCAGCACCCTGTTTTTGTTTCAGATTTCCAGCATCCACAGTCGTATTTATAATTTTTTTTTATGTTGAGGGTTTAGGCTTCTGGGATTGAGTTAGTAACCATTGGGTTTTGTGTGTGTCTGCCTCAATTGATTCGTAAGTATTTCTGTAGCCATTTCTCTTAAAACTAACTTTTAAAGCCTGGCTTTAGATTGAATGGATTTTGTCCAATGCTAATCAACTTTTGTTTATTTAAATTATTTTACAACTCAACACAGGAAATAATGGGGTCTCAAGGTTTGTTAGCATATTCTGGAACTTCTTTTTTGAAAACATGAAGGGAAATGAGAGTGAGAAACATACAGACACTTTTAGTTTCAGTTTTCAGTGGTGTAGTCCTGTGAAGTCCTTAGAATAAGACTTGAGAGTGAACACTGAGTGCGAATGCCAGATAAAACTGTTGGGATAAAACCTTTAAGAGGTTATTTAAAGTTGAGTTCATTTAAGCTGGTGTGTGATAGCTTCTTCCTAGCACTAACCGCAGTTCCAGTCCAAATGTTGTGATTTCAACAGATTTAAACTTACTGAGGTATTAGGTTTAGGGATGAATTACTGCAGATGCTGGAATCAGTGCTGAAAACAAAAAATGCTGGAAATCACAACGGTTCAGGCAGCATCCACGGAAAGAGAAAGCAAGCTAACATTTCAAGTCTAGATGACGCTTCATCAGAGCCATCTAGACTCAAAACATTAGCTTGCTCTCTCTCCGCAAATGCTGCCTGACCCGCTGTGTTAGGTTTAGGGATTCTGGTGCAAGTATTATGCGAGTGGTGTTTTGTTTCTTTTCAATTTATAAAGGAGTGCTTTGGGATTAATGGCATTCTGCTTTCACTGTGTGTATTGGACGGACGTGTTTCCTAGGCAAGGGGTCCGGAACTGCACACGATGTCCCAGATATGGTCTCACCTGTACAATTGAAGGAAGATATCTTTACTCTTGTACTCAAATCCTCAAGGCCAACATTACCATTTGCCATCCTAATTGCTTGCTGTACATACACTAGCGCTCAGTGACATATGAACAAGACACCCAAGTCCTTTCAGACATCACTGTCCAATCTTTCACCAGGTAAGGAATACTGTGCACTTCCGTTCCTTCTACAAAAATGGATAACCTCACGTGTCCACGACATTCCAAATGCCATTCTCTTGCCCGCTCAACCTGTCCAAATTCCCTTGAAGCTGTTTTCCATCATCTTCACAACAAACATTCCTATATTGGGTCATCCACAAAATTTGGAAATATTACAATTGGTCCCAACATCCAAATCATTGCTATAGATTGTGACCAGCCAAGCACTGATCCTTTGAGTACACTCCTAGTCAAACTGAGAATGGCCATATTTTCTATGCTTTTTTCTCCCCATTAACCAATCCTCAATCCAGCCCAGTATATTACTCACTATATTGCATGCTAATTTTGTTTACTAACCAGCTATGTGAGATTTTATCCAAACCCTTCTGAAACACTGGTTCTCTTCATCTACTCTGCTAGTAACAACTTCGAAAAACATTTATCAGGTTTGTCAAATGTGAGTGCCCTTTCACAAATCCATGTCGACTCTGCCCAATCAGACCATTAGTTTCCAAGTGACCAGTTATCACATCCTTTATAACCAATTTTAGTATTTTCCCTACTATTGGCATCTAACTAACAGGTCCAATGTCTCTCAGTCACAGGGTGTACTGTTAACCATACTGACCTTTATTTACTGGAGTAATTTTAAACTAAACCTGATGGGAATTTCTATGGGTTTTTAACAAAAAAAAGGTCTGTCATTTTATGAAATCTAAGATTAACGAGGTTGAGTTTTACAAACCATTTAGTTGTTGATTCAATTAATTTTATCCTTTTATTACTTCAGTTTCACAAACGAGCACATAACGGGGAAGGGAAATCAGCCGTTCCTCATGTAATCATGTGCAAAGGCATTTTGACCAGCAAAATTTCACTGTACCAAAATTACTGGATTAGTCGTCAACAGTAGAAGTGAATGTGGTACGTTATCTGGATACGAATTCCTTAGATAAATGCATCTCTTTCTAGTACTGCTGATGTAATCCATTTAGGTACTGGTTAGTAATATGGATCTCACCTGCATCCTCCCCATACCAATCACTCTGCACATCCATCATATTGGAAAAGGAGCCCCCTCCATCCTCTGGACGCCCCCCTCTGGAAAAGTGCTGTATGAGATCTTCCTTCCGCTGGACGTTCCCTGTCCTCAATAAAACCTCTAAGAATTGTTTCATCTGATAATTTTCATAAGCTATTTCCATAGCTGGGGCAGTCTGCAGCCTTTCCTCAGCCTGATCTGTGGCAGATGGTGTAAACTGCCGGAACCGGTCAACTGATTCTACTTCGTCCTCGTCAAACTCAACTTTAGGCTCTGGAAGTTTAGGTAATGATGGAGGATGAAGTTTCTCTGGAGATAGGTTGTCCTGATCTTTCTGTACAAGATCTATGGGATGATAAGAATTGCACTCATTCCAAGTTATACTTTGATTATTGTCAGGGCTTGATTCCTGCTGTTGAACTGATGAAACAGGGTTTGGACATTGATTTCTACAAAAAGACACAGCATCTCCAAAGGCTGCTATATTATTCCCATTTTCCACATGATTACAGTTATCATCTTTCTCATCTTTCACACAGATGTCAAGAGAAGATCTGATGTACAGTTTGCAAAAGCTGACTACATCAGTCATCTGCAGGTAACTAGCAGCTGACATCACTTCAATGACATTCTTACTGCAAAGGTTCAGCTTTCCAGAATAGAGAAAGTCCAGTATTATGGAAAAGGCCTCAGATGTGACAATGTCCAGGGAGGCAGTGCTAGGACGTCCACTATCGTGGATATAGTGAATCAGCAAGGCTCTGAAGTACCCACTGTTAGCAAACAGAATATTCCGGTGAGCTTTGAAAATTCTCCCCTCCACAATAATGCTGCAGTCACAGAAGAAGTCCTGCTTCCGCTGTTCATTTAGTTCTCCCAGAAGTTTAGTGTAATATGATGTGATCTCCATCTTTCGTGACTAGGAATTTGCCAAAAGATGTTTTGCTGCCTGCAAAATAACCTTAAAAGATCAGAAAAGGGAATTTTTTTTAAAAAATTGTTTTCAAAGACAAGAAAATTAGTGCTACAGTTGGAGTTATTTTTCACTTTGGCACTGTATAGGATCAAGCAATTTCAAGAGCAAATAGAACAAAGCTCTATAGAATAAAGAAAGCATCATTGCAAAAAAGATCTGACATCACAATATTCAAGTGATAAAGCTTCTTTTACTTTGTCCTGAAAATTCACTTTAACCGCAATAACAGCCCATTTCCCTAGTACATGACACTTTTCACTTCCCACACTAGATTTTCTTACATTATCTGCATCCTAACCAGTAAACTCCATCTGAAATGGATTATGATGATTGTTGTGCAACACAACTGTGCTCCCTAGAGTTGAAACATGTGGTTGGTACTACATGAAATAACAAAAGGACCACCAGATCAGCATTCACAAATGTGAAGGTTGTGGGTAATTCTACAGAAATTAGTTGACTGAACCACTGCTAATCTCAGTTAAGCACCCATCAATTCTTCCAATGAGTCTTGGAATACCAAATAAAATTGAAGAATGAATTTGATTCAGAAAGAGACATATGAATGAACATATAACGCCAGATAGACTGGACGTTCAGCAATGAATTCAAAAAGTTTTGAACTACCTAAGTGAATAGGAACAAATCGAAATAAAAATATCAGAGATCCCCAAAACATTTTCAGTACAGGGGGGTAGGCTAGCACTCAATGTTGACAGTAAAATTCATTAAGAAAATATGCTAACTAAAGAACAGGAGTAATATATCCAATAAAAATAAGGAAACTTGCTCTTACCATTAGACAACCTAACTGCACAAAAAAAACCTAGCATTCATAAAACAACACCATGTCTAAAAATGCTTGACACAGCAGGGCTAGTTTTTCATTTAACTACTGGCTTCAATTTAATTTTGTTTCCTTTGATCACAAGTTTTAAAATAAAGCTCTTCTAGCTCACTTTTGAACTTGAAAATGGAAAACTGGATAGCAACAAATAGTAGAATAATTATGGCATCCACGTTTCTCAGGTTATGACTATGATGTATTAACAGGAGCAAGCCTGTAATTGGGAAACCTCAATTCTGCTATTGTTTCAGGACCTGTTCTAATGGGCTAGTTTGCTTAAAATATTCGGTCCTTGACACTACTCCTGACATCACAAGAATTTATTTGACCCGTTACACGAATCATTTCTGAGATAAACTTCTACCAAGACCCAGGCCCACCAAATGTAACCCCAAATATAAGAATTAAAGACTAAACCGTGTTAGCGGGCTAACTGTCCAGTAGCAACACACCACTTAACAGTTGCAATGAAGACCACAACAGGTCAGACTTTAGGATTACACTCTCTCATTCGCTTCAGCAGACATCCCTCTCACTTCAGTTGTTAGCTCATTGACTTGTTATAGGCCAGAATCACCCAACTGACTCCATATTTACCTTTGCTTCCTTTGGCAAGAGCAAAATATCTCAACGACGGCCCCCTCACCCACACACTTCATCAACCTAACCTATCCTCACACCGGAACTCGCTGCCGCGTCCATTAACTGACAACATCCTAGACCAATAGGAAAAGCTAACTGGGGAAAGGATGAGAAAGTTAACCAATAGAAGGGGGATTGGTGGGCTGGACTAATCGCCCAGCAGGTTAGGTTGTCGGCAGATGAAGGCCTAGTGGGCCTGCGCAACAGCCCCTCTGTCGGGTGCTGTAGTTTCCCTTCCTATTAGTCGCTGTGGCAACCCGGCCGGAAGGAACTACAACTCCCAGCATGCAACACACTGAGACATCTGGTCCACGTCGGTGACGATAAGAGGCTACCGGTCCAGTGATGGTTTCCGTCTAGCTCAATGACTATCAAGTGGAACCATCGAGAACCGAGCTAATTCTCATAGACCAAATGCATAATAATGTGCTGAAGTTTAATTATAATGCTGACCCGTAGAGTGGTAACAACACAGTAGATTATTTGGCCAGACATTCCTGTGCTGAAGAATGTCTTCAAAAAGAGCAATTCACCTAGTGCCACTCCCCTATGGTCCTGCAATTTTTAAAAAAATCTTTTTAACATAACAGTCTAGTTCCCTTTTATAAACCCTAGTTGACTCTGACGTTTGGATTGTTATTATTTTCATTCATGCATTGAAGGCTCTTCACAATCCTACCGCATTCGCTCTAAAACCCTTTATATCATCTCTGATTTGTATCATATTTTATATTTTGATGTGGTGTCCACTATATTTTTCCCTCTAAAGTGAAGTGCATTGATTCCAGTGCTAACTAGCACCTGAAGAAGGAGTAATACTCTGAAACCTTGTGTTTCCAAATAAACCTGTTGGACTATAACCTAGTTAGATAGCAGGAACAGCAGATGCTGGAGAATCTGAGATAATAAGGTGTAGAGCTGGATGAACACAGCAGACCAAGCAGCATCAGAGGAAGAAGGGTCTAGGCCCGAAACATCAGCCTTCCTGCTCTTCTGATGCTGCTTGGCCTGCTGTGTTCATCCAGCTCTACACCTTGTTATCTCGGACTATAACCTAGTGTTGTGTGATTTCTGACCTTGACAAACATTAAAAACATAGAATGGTCACAGCAGAGAAGAGGCTGTTTATACTGGCTGTGTAATTATGTAGTTCCCTTTTGAAGTCCAAGATTGAACCTGCCTCCACCACATTCTCAGACAGTAATTCCAGTTCCTAACCACTTAATGTCAATATTTTCTTCATGACTTTGATTGTTTTGCCATTCACCTTCAGCTGATCATCAAGCGATCTGCTGATGCGTACCATTCTCTAACTACTCATGAATTTTCACTAGCAAATTTCTTCTCAACCTTCTATCAGACAAACAGCCTCACATTTTCCAATCTATGCAATGCTAGTTCCTTCATCTCTGAAATTATTCTTGGAAATGTTTTCTGCACCTTCTGTAATGTGTTCGCATTCTTCACAAGGTGTGGTGCATATGACTGATTCCTGTATTCCTGTTGAGGCTGAACCAGGATTTTATGAAAGTTTGCCGTAACTTTCTTGCTTTTATACCCTAACACGCAATTTATGAAGTCCAGGAACCTGTATGCCTTTTCAGCTATTTTACCTTCCTGCCACCTTTGTCAATTTGTATGCATATAATTACAGGCCCTCTTTTCCTGTGCCCCTTTAGTATCCTTTATTTTATATTGTTGCTTTCAATCTTCCTCCAAAAATGAATCACTTCACATTTCTTTGTATTAAATTTAATGTACCACATATCTATCAATGAAACTAACATGTCCATGTTCTGTTGAAGGCTATTTCTAGTTTCCTGACAGTTCACAAAGCTTCCACATTTTTTGTCACCCACAAATTCCGTTATTATAGAGATTAAAAAAGTAAACCTAATATTATTCTCTCAGAAATCCCACTATATATATATTCCTCCAGACTAAAAAAAATAAACTTTTGCTCTGCTCCTATGATGCTGCTTGGCCTGCTGTGTTCATCCAGCCCTGCACCTTGTTGTCTCAAACTTTTGCTATTACTGTGTTTTCTGTCGCTCAGCCAATTTTGTGCTATATTCATGAAATTCAACATTGTTGGCAAGCCAACTATGTTTCATTTTATCAAAAGCCTTTAGAAACCATATTAACCATGTCGTAAATGTTATCTTATCAAAAAGTTTAATCAAGTTAGTTAAACACAAAATGCTAGAAATACTCAGCAGGTCTGGCAGCAACAGAAGAAAGTGATAGCATTTCACTCGGCAGTTTAGAAAAAAAAAATGCCTAATTGAAGTAGGATCATCAGAACTGGCTGCTTAAATTGGCATCAAAGATTGGCAGGCTAAACTGCAATAGAATAATGGCTGCTTTCAAAGAAGATAGTATTCCTTTACTGTCAAGCTACATTCCAAGTAGGGAGAAAAGCTGGAACTTTTCTAAGGACAGAGCTCCCCAATGACATGAAAGGTAACAAATATGATAAAGCAGACAAGGGATGAGTCTGACAAATGTCAGGTTAATAACATAGATGATAGCCAGACAAGATAGAATGCTCAGATGGAATGTGTAAGAGAGGCAAAGAGAGAGCAAAAGAACAAGCTGACAGTTAGGCATAAAAACTGGCCGATAAACAATAAAAAGATAGTAAAAGGGGGGAAATTGGGCTGATTAGAGACTATAAAGTAGATCTACACATGGAGGCAAGGGGCATGGCTGGAGTGCTGAAAGTGTACTTTACATTTCTCTTTACCAATGGAGAATTTGCCACTAAAATCATAGGGAAAGAGGAAGTAGTTGAGAGACTGCATTGGCTAAACTTTAGAAAAGACGAGATAGTAGAAAGGCTGGTTTTACTTAAAGTTGACAAGCCTCAAGTCTGGATGGATTGCATCTGAAGATACTGAGAGGTAATTAAGAAAATTGGGGAGGGGGGTCGGTGTACAGACCATAATATTCCAATCCTCTTTAGGTTAAGGGATGGTGTGACAGGACTGTGAATTGTAAATGTTACACTTACATTAAAGAAAGGGTATAAGGATAAATACAGCAACTGCAGGTGAGTCAGTTTAATCCTATCATTGGAAAAAGCTTTTCAAAGCAATAATCCAGGTCGAAATTAACACTCATCTTGGACAAGTATGAGTTAAGTGAAGAAAGACAAAATTATTTTGTGAAAGGAAAATTTGTGTTTAACTAACTTGACTTGTGAGTTTTTTTTTAAATGAGATCAGAGGGTTGAAGAGAGTAATGCAGTTCATATGGTGAATGTGAACTTTCAAAAGGCATTTTGATAAAGAGCTGTATGCAAGGCTTGCCAGAAAGTTGAAGCCCGTGAATAAATGGGACAGTGTCAGTATGGATATGATGTTGGCTGAGTAACAGAAACAAAATGGTGGTGAATAGTTGTTTATCAAGCTACAGAAAGGTTTTCTGTGGTGTTCCCTAAAGACCAGCACTAGGAGCATTGCTTTTTTTTCCTACATGCTAATGATCTAGATTTGGGTGAAAAAGACACAAGTTCAAATTTCCAGATGACGTAGGACTTGTTAATATTGTGATCTGTAAGCTAGGTAGCCATGGTTTTCAAGGAAACATTGGTTGGTGGAATGGGTAGAGATGTAGCAAGTGAAATGTAATTAAGTGAAGTGATCCATTTTGAGAGGAAGAATGAAGAAAGGCAAAATAAAACAACATGTAATTCTAAAATGGCATAGAAACAGAAAGATCTGGGGAGTTTGTTCATTAATCATTTGAAGCTGGCAGGACCAACTGTGAAAGCAATTTTATGGTAGATGGAATCCTTGGCTTTTTGAATAGACAACATGAGGACTAAAACAAGGAAGTGAAGATTCTTCATAACTGTTATGGCCTCACTTGGAGGATTGCATCCAATTCTGGGTACCACACTTTAGGAAAGATATATGCTTTAGAGAGGATGCAGTGGAGATTTAAGAGAACAGCACAAAGAATGAGGGATTTGAATGACATGGGTAGCTGGGGATTGGTTCCCTTGGAGAAGATTGAGAGGAAATTTGATAGACATGTGTTCAAAATCGTGAGGGGGTCAAGACAAAATATGCAGAGAGAAATATTGTTCCCATTAGCAGAAGGCTTAAGAATTAGCGAATATCGATATGAGGTGAATAACAAAAGACTCAATGATACCTTTGGGAAACACTTTTTGCCCCGCAAGTGGTTTAGATCTGTGGTATGCTGTGTCTGTGAGTGCAGATCTAATCATAGGTTTCGAAAGAGAATTGGATAAGAATCTGAAGAAAAAGGAATTTAACAGGTAACATACAAACGGAGTGACAAAATGTAAAGCACAGTTCAAGCTATTCCTTTTTTGTTTCAATCTGTCATTGTTCTATTTTCGTTCACTTTTTCTGCCTTCTTGAATAGATATTATGCTAGACATGTTTATTTTTACGTGATTTGTTAAACTTGCTTTTTGGCATATCGAGGTCAAAAACCTTGATTGGAAAATGTGAGCTAGATTTTACCACATTGGGTACATCTGTGAACAAGGATGCAGAAAAAGTAACAAGTTCAATCATCAATGCCTACATGCAATCAATCACTGGATTTAACTGACTAATCTATTAGGTCAAATGCTGCTTTAGAATTTCTCCTTTGACTTCTCCACTGTCTTGGTAAGGGTCACAGCCATAGAATGTAATTTATCATTTTGAACTAAGATGAGGACAAACTTCTTCATTCTAAGAGTTGAATGTTAAAAATCTGAATGTACCAACCATGAGCATGAGAAGCCATCCAACCTCTCAAGCCTCCTCTGCCACTCAATAAGATCATGGCTGATCTGTTTGTAACTTCAAATCCACATTCCTTCATATACTTCATTCCCTTGTTTAACAAGAATTTATCCACCTCTTTCTTAAAAATTTTTGAGGACTTTGCTACAACCACCATTTCAGGAAAAGAGTTTAAAAGGCGCCCAACTTTCAGAGAGACAAAATTTTCCTTTGTCTCTGCCTTAAATAGCCAACCCCTGGTTTTTAAATCATGACCTCTAGTTTAGATTTTTCCGTAAGAGGAAACTTTCTCTCCACAAGTATTCCGTTGAGACCCCTCCGGATTTTATGTTTTAATCAAGTCACCTCTTACTCT